CGTTGCTTATTACTGCGGACCACCACGTGAAACGTGATTATGAATACTATCCACGGTTACTCCGTTACATGAGAACCCCATGTAAACTTTCCCAACACATACGCGCGTTTATTCAACTTCCCCCCTATTCCCTTAACTAACACTCAAACACTCACATCACCACCTATGCGAAGTTAGCCCCCAATTTTTCTAGCCCCCCAATTAGATACGATTTTACATATATAGTATTTTAATTATAACAAGAGAACCAGTCAATTGATTTGTGGAAATGCTCGAATTCCGGTAAAACACCAAAATAATGCGAAGGTACACGAAAATAACAGAAAAATGACCTTTTTCAAGTGGTGATAATTCGTAAACGTTGTACCCGATTATCAAAATCTATGCGTCATTCGATTCGTCATAGTTTTTTCTGTCGAAATCACCAAACGCTAGAAAAGATTTCAATTCTCTCTGTATGGCAGATTAAAGAAAGGAAAGGAAATAAAAAGAATCACTACTTTTGTTAAACCATTGTTAAACTGAAAAAAATAAAAAGTGACGAATTGAATGTTTGACGAAGATTTGCTGAATTATATACATATTGACGAAAAATGGTTCTATATAACCAAAGCTAAAAGAAGCTTTTATATAACTCCCGAAGAAGAACAGCCTTATTACCAAGGTAATGTTTATGGCGACAGTTGCTCGTCCACGTTGGGATTTTCAAAAGTGTATTTTGATGGTAAGTTAGGAATTAGGCCATTTGCATCTTCTTCTCTAGCTAAGAGAAACAGCAAAAATCGACCAAAGGGAACTTTCGTAACCAAAGCTGTGGAAGTTGTTAACAAAGAAGAAATAAAGAAAATGATTCTTTATAATTTAATTCTTGCAATACGGGACAAGTGACCTGTTGGTTCTAAGAAAAACACAATATACATTCAACAAGATAATGCAAAGCCACATTTAAACAGTAACGATTCTTCACTAACGCAAGCATTCACTGAAGACGGTTGGGATATTCAATTAAAACCGCAACCACCCAACAGTCCCGATTTGAATGTGTTGGATTTAGGTTTTCTCAATTCTATTCAATCAGTTCAGCATCAACTACCACAAAGAAATATCGATGAATTAATTGAAGCAGTGAAACAACTAAACAAAATGAAATTAAGACGCAATCACTCTAATTCGACTTTATTGTCTATTAAATGCGATGAAAATGCTATTAAAATGGCTCAAGAATATTTAAATAATAGAAGTAATTAAGTATTACAAATAAATAGTTTAAGTTATTGTTTTTTTGTATTTTCAATTGAAATAAGTAATATGGTTTTGCTTTCTACATCTTTTCTACATTTTCGGACAGAGGAAGTATCTCAAATGAAACCTGAATGCATATGTCAAAATGCCCGATTCGAAATATTTAAGGATTTTGAATAAAACACATTTGATTAATAAATTTTTTGTGTTTTAATCAACAAGCGCATTCAGCCAGGCGAAAGCTGTCGATTGAGATATAAAACATTAAAATCCGTCAAACCGTTCTGTAATTATCAGGGCACGAAACTTTTGTAACAAAACGATACGATTCCCCCCCCCCACTCGTTCTCAAAAAATTTTGATTAAAAGAATCTCAAAATAATAATTTTTCCGTTTTTATACATAATTATACTTAGATGCTTAATTAATGGAGATGTAAAAATTGTTTATTAAGATAATTGATTCAAAACCGAAATTGAAACAAATTTTATTTAAAACATTTTTTAGAAAAATTTAGAAACATTTTTAGAAAAAAATTGTATTAACAAACACTGTTCCTGAAGTAATTCTAAACAAATTTTGTTGACAACATTTTTTGATTAAATCAACAATAAGGATATAACCTCAAAAATATTAATTTTTGTAGCATACTGTTCAGTGGGAAATTAAAATTTCAAGTTAGAAAAAAATTGTGTTAACAAAAATTGTTCCTGAAACAATTCTAAACAAACTTTGTCAACATTTTTTTTTGATTTAATCAATAATTAAGGAGATAACCTCAAAATAATAATTTTTCCGTTTTTATACATAATTATACTTAGATGCTTAATTAATAGAGATGTAAAAATTTTTTATTAAGATAATTGATTCAAAATCGAAATTGAAACAAATTTTATTTAAAACATTTTTTGATAAAAACAATAATTATTGAGATAATTAATTTTGATAGCATACTATTCAGAGGGAAATTAAAATTTCAAGTTAGCAAAAAATTGTATTAACAAACACTGTTCCTGAAGTAATTCTAAACAAATTTTGTTAACAACATTTTTTGATTAAATCAACAATAAGGATATAACCTCAAAAATATTAATTTTTGTAGCATACTATTCAGTGGGAAATTAAAATTTCAAGTTAGAAAAAAATTGTGTTAACAAAAATTGTTCCTGAAACAATTCTAAACAAACTTTGTCAACAATTTTTTTTGATTTAATCAATAATTAAGGAGATAACCTCAAAATAATAATTTTTCCGTTTTTATACATAATTATACTTAGATGCTTAATTAATAGAGATGTAAAAATTTTTTATTAAGATAATTGATTCAAAATCGAAATTGAAACAAATTTTATTTAAAACATTTTTTGATAAAAACAATAATTATTGAGATAATTAATTTTGATAGCATACTATTCAGAGGGAAATTAAAATTTCAAGTTAGCAAAAAATTGTATTAACAAACACTGTTCCTGAAGTAATTCTAAACAAATTTTGTTAACAACATTTTTTGATTAAATCAACAATAAGGATATAACCTCAAAAATATTAATTTTTGTAACATACTATTCAGTGGGAAATTAAAATTTCAAGTTAAAAAAAAATTATGTTAACAAACATTGTTCCTGAAACAATTTTAAACAAACTTTGTCAACATTTTTTTTTAATTTAATCAATAATTAAGGAGATAACCTCAAAATAATAATTTTTCCGTTTTTATTCATAATTATACTTAGAAGCTTAATTAATAGAGATGTAAAAATTGTTTATTAAAATAATTGATTCAAAATCGAAATTGAAACAAATTTTATTTAAAACATTTTTTAATAAAAGCAATAATTGTTGAGATAATTAATTTTGATAGCATACTATTCAGAGGGAAATTAAAATTTCAAGTTAGAAAAAAATTGTATTAACAAACACTGTTCCTGAAGTAATTCTAAACAAATTTTGTTAATAAAAATTTTTGATTAGATCAATAATTAAGAACATAATCTCAAAAAAAATTTGATATATATTTTTTTTATTGAGAAAATAGTTTTAGAATTTAATTTAGAACAACTTTTGTATGAATTTTTTTGCTGAGAACGAGTGGAGGGGGGAAATCGTATCGTTTTGTTACAAAAGTTCCGTGCCTTACTAATTATAGTCGATTTAGTTTAAATTAATATTTTTATATAAACAACGAGCCGAACACGGTGTCATTCCGAGGGGTGTACAAGGTTGATGGGAGAGAATTGAAATCGGGTATTTTGTGGTTTCGATAGAAGAAATTATGACGAATCGAATGACGTATAGATCTTGATCATCGGGTACATCGTTTACGAGTTATCACCACTTAAAAAAAGGTAATTTTTCGTATTGGCCAAGGATTGATTTTTATCGAAATCGGTTGAGTGGTTCTCTTGTTATAATCAAAATACTATACATCTAATTGGGGGCTAACTTCACATAGGTCACATCACCGCCCCATATAAGTAGGATTTTATTTAAAACGTTTTGAAAACAAATTTAATTAGACGTTTATTTCTAAAATTACTTGAGATAAAACTTAAATGACTTTAATTACAAATAAGTAAACAATTAATTAGTTTCCTTGGGTTTAATCCATAAGGAGAAGTAAGACTTTAAAAATTCCTTCGATCCCAATTAGCGATGTGTGACATCTCCTCTTAGCGAACGCATTAGTATAAAACAATGGTGCGATACAAATCACCATCCCCCCTGAAATGGACTACGACGGTTCCGAATCCCGCCGGAACCGTTACCGACTAATTGTCGCCGCTTCTTTTTTCCTTTCCACTCCATCAACCACGACAGAAGAACCGAATTTGGTCAAATCGCTAAAAATAGCCTTCGCGATCGTCGTCGTTGTGGCTGAGCTCGTGCCACAAAGAATCACGAGGGGAAATCGGGGGGGTTGTTGGTCGGTTTGGTTGCCACTCTCACGGGTGGCCGCGCTAATTAAGATTCAGGCTGATTACGCCGGTCGCTAACGGTAAGGCACGTCTGGTGCCTTCCGCAGAATCTGAAGCATTCCTGCAATCCGCTGTGAGGTAGGTCTTCTACTTCTCTTCTATGGCCATGATGTTTGTTCTCTTTTAGATCATTCAACATTTTTTTCTCAATCAGAAAATAGGTAATTAAGTACCACCCAAGACTTTTTCAAAAAGTTATACTAAAAAGAATCAATTCTTGATAAGGGCACATTGAGTAAAGAAGCGCTGGTGGGGGTTTCGAGTTTCCATAACTATATTTAATATAAAAAAGAGAGGGAGCAGACCCGCCTTAGATGGCAGCACCGGCCATTAATAATTTATATATCGGCGACGTTCCATTTTTTCGTCCAGCCGTCTCGACCGGACCGGGTTTTCAGTCCTTCGGACCTTCTTTTTGCCGCCTCTCTCGCGAGTTCTTCGTTGCTTTTATTTCGCTACGTGGGAATGAGTAGCCCGGAATGTCGCCTAATTAAAGTATCTTCTTATTTTATCCTTTTTCAAAGGTTTTTGTTGAGTACTTTTGTTCAAAACTATATATACATTTTTCTTTAAATTTTGAGTTACAAAAAAGGCTTAAGTCTTTAAGAGGCGACATTTTACTTTAGGAATCTTAAGACTTTCAGAATCTTGTTGAGTCTTTGCTATTTTGGTGCGAGTTTCGAAATAGTTCGGGTTATTTTTAGGGAAGCTCCCCCCTTCCCTGTGGGTTTTGATGAATGTTTAAGAAGTATTTTTAAATTTGATTTTGTTTCTTTTTTGCAGCATGTTGTTCAATCCAAAAAAAAAATGTCGGTTCACCACCCACGGAGAAGATATCCCGTGGTGTAACCACTGGAGAATTAGGTAGACATAGCACCAAAAGAGATTTATGGTAGAAGTGGAAGCTCAGGGTGTTAGAGACCCCTCCCTAAAAGCACTCGAAAAACCCCTCCAGGTTACCTGTGACAATTATTTACGAGGTGAGATCGAATTTTAGATAATACCAAAATAAAAAATTTTTTTTAATGCTGCGATTAGGAGGATTTTAACGAACCGCGAAATACCATTACGCGTGCCTTTTTTTTCGGATAGTAGGCGTGGTATTTTACTATATAGTAGCCAGGCCCGTAATGCGTTATTCAGGAGTGTTATGGGGGCCCCGTTTAGCTCCGCCCCTGATCATTCGTCTCTGTTCGTTCTTGTCTCTTTTCTTTTGATATTCCCCTACAAATCGCCCCCCACCAGATTCGGGCTTTGAAACTTTGGGCGCGCACCGATAGATGGAGCGAGCTTACAAAAACCGAACCACCGCTTAGTTCCGACGTTTACCGAGCGCGGCGCTGACGGGCGTTTCAAAAATACTACCTACACTATAAGCAGCGAACAATTTAGAGCATTTATTCCGATATCCATTACAGATATTAGCGTCGCTCTCTACAATTTCTTGATGGGGAGATAGCGACGACGACGCCGAGGTTATTTTTGTGGTCATTAAAAAATAAAAGCCCGCGACGAACGAAGGGCAAGGGGGAAGGGTAATAATCGAACGTGTACGGCCGGTAATAACTCATTAAATGGGTATCTATCAAAAAAATCTCTTCTTGCCCTCTCTGTTTCGCACGTTGCGTTTGCGATGCGATCCGTAATTTACGGGCTTTAATTAAATCTTAGATGGCCGGTTGCCGTAGCTCGGTAAGTGATTAGCAAGGTAAATTATTAATTTGCCACCCAAACCACCATATATGCATCTTGTATTCTCTCATTCTTTATTGACCATACAATATTCGCCATCTCTTGTATTCTTCCCAAACTACCATTTAAAATTATAATCGAGGTTATAATGAAGGATGTGAAAAGAGAAAATAAAAACAAAAAGAAATTTATTAATTTTTAAGTCATTTATTTTTTTCTTCGTTACTAATTAAGTTATAACATTTAATTACAATGCAATAATTTTTTTTGTTAATCTTATCTTTTTTTCTAATATTACTTAAAGCACAATTTATACGTCAAAAATCAAATCAATTTCATACTTGTATGTTTGTATCAAAGGTTGTTGAGCCGAGAATATGGAATGGAAATTAGGTTGGGTTAAGTATTATTGCTATATTACAGATAAATTTAGAGTCTTACATAATGTAATAAGGAATATAAGACGATGGGCATCAAATATATTAATCAAAAGTATTTCCAATTAATGTGCAAGTATTGCCAAATTAATATATATGGTATTTATATCTTCTGAACATATTTGGGGAAGGAAGTTTTAAAATGCCTAATAGAAAAATGACCAGAAAAACATTTTAATTATCATATAACCCAATACAATCCCGATTACGCTAGTGTAACAAGCAATTCTTCATCAACTTGTTGCTGGTCAGGGATTAAATTAGAAAAAAACTCGTATCTCGCTGATTTTGCTTAATTCAAAGAGATTTCGACGGAGATAATGTTGCATTAGGAATTATATTTGTCGATATCAAAAATAATAGTGAAGGAAGCCAAAGCAGTGTTGAGAAATGTACAAACTTTGCTTCCAAAAATCATCCTGCACAGCAACAAAAACTTATTTCATTTTCTGCAAAGTATGTACAGGGTGTCCAAATTTCGATGGGTTGGCTGGGTATGTCAGTTATTATGAAAGATAGAAAGTTGCGAAGCTACGGTATGTAATCTGCTGCATGCATTATTTAGGTTTTTGCCATTTAATGTCTTTCCGGCAGTATTAGGGAATTTACTACTTGTCATTAGGAAGCGATACCTAGTCTTCTGCCAGCACTGTTTAGTCTTCTATTATTAGTACTTAGTTCATCATGTCATCTACAAGCAGTATGAAGTCTTCTGCATACATTATCCAGTTTATTATCGGCAGTATTAGGTAATCTATAAGTAGTAAATAGTCATTTGGAAGTAATATTATGTCTTCTGCCAGCATTGCTTAGTCTCCCATTATCAGTACTTAATTCGCTACTAGCAGTATGTGATGTTTTTCCTCGTATATTATCTCATCTACAAGTAGCATTTAATTTCTGCCAGCAGTATGAGGTCTTCTGCAAGTGAAATTAATTTTTTTGCTAACGATATTTAGTCTTCCATTGGTAGTATCTCATCTTTTGTAAGCAGTATCTAGTTTTTTGCCAACTTGTATTTCGTCCATTTTACCGAAGAATATTTTTATCTACCCCTTCTAAATTTTTATTTAGTTATTTTATTTTAGTAGTTATTTTCAAACAAATATAGCCAGAATATGCGCCATAATTTTCCATTTTTCATTTAAATCACAAATGACGTATTTACTAGCTATATTCCATACTTTTGTTCTACCAACCCCAACTCAACCCAAATCCAACCCAACCCAACCTCAACTCAACCCGATATAATCCATTATTTTATGGAGGTATAACATTTGTAGCATTGTACAGGGTGTCCAAATTTCGCTGGAATTAAGTATTTTAGAAGTTGAGTATTCAGTATTTGAGTTGTGTTTATAACTCAAAAACCGTAATGATTAGAAAAATTCTACGTGCACCATTGGATTCCACGTGAAAAAATCTATTAGAAACCGTTTTTACTTTTTTACTAAGTTTCCGGATAGCCGAGATACAGGAGGTGTCAGAAAATCGTAAATTTCAAACACTCCCTGTATATCAAAAACGAAAAGGGCTATGAAAATTTGGTTTGTGCCATTGTAAGTCTCCACAAAAAAGTAGCTCAATTTGGACACCCTGTACAAAATTACAAAATCAAGGTTGAGTGCTATACAGATGATGCCATCCTCTTGCTTAATACTGAAGGTGACCTACAGTGGTTAACACAGGCATTTAAAATTGTAGGTAATAAATTGTGACGATATCAAAAGAACCTCGTAGAAGTAAAATAATAATTAACAATGAATCATTGTAGAAGCAGTGATGAGGCGATGAGGCTATTGAGGCTATGAAAAAAAATAGCTCCATTTGGACACCCTGTACAAAATTACAAAATCAAGATTGAGTGCTATGCAGATGATGCCATCCTCTTGCCTAATACTGAAGATGGCCTACAGTGGTTAACACAGGCATTTAAGATTGTAGGTAATAAATTTAAAACGATATCAAAAAAAACCCGTAGAAGTAAAATAATACTTAGCAATGAATCATTGTAGAAGCAGCGATATTCAAGATGAAGAGGAGAAATTGAAACGAGTACGATTTTTGATGACCACCAAGACGTCGTATAAGTTGCTCCATTCCAAGTACAGACTACAGTGTGCAGCAAAATTATGGAATAAATTCAATAAAACGGATATAAACATTATTTTGCAAAAATCTCGTCTCGACAGTTTATGCATTTTATGTTTCTGTATCAAATTCTATTCTTCTGTTTTGAGGTTCACTAAGAAAATTAAGTTCTCTCTAAGATTTTGAAAAGATTATGAAGTCTTTGATGATTTTGACACCCAATTTGTGTATGATTAAGACATAATAAGGATTTTTGGACTTACGAACAAATTGAGATGGGAAAAAGAGAAGGTTTGTCCTAATTCTAAATTGGAATCTTTTTCAGTCCATTTCGAGTTTTTAAATCTGAGTTAACGCAGCTTTATAAGAAATAATATAGTTATATATTAGACTAGTTTCGGGAATTTATTACCATCATCAGTCAAAAAATATATACAAAATTTAATTGATTTAAAGTTTTTATTTAAATATCTATCAATAAAGTATTATTTTGAGTTAATAAACGAAGATATTTATTAATGAGTTTAATTTGTCGGTTTTTCACTTATTTCAGTTCATTTCAAAAAAAAATAAATATGATAACACTATTTTACGACTTGTTTACTACTGATAAGTAAATCAAGTATTAGAAGCAATCGCTAATTATTCAATTACAGTTCTAAAAATAACAATGATCCCATTAACGATTTAAAATCGAAATTTAAATAAAAAAATGATAATCGGAGGAAATTGCACAAATTCCGAAATGTGTTACGATTGGTTAAAATAATCGTAAAATGAAAAAAATATAAGTCATAACCAACCATATATACGTTATCTATCCTCATTTCCAGTTAAACGTAAACAAAGATAAGGTTTCCGTTAAATATGCGTTGGTGACGATAAGAGGTTAATTTTTATGTCGATTAATTAATTAGGGTTTATCGCGCGAGTAGTCTTTTCGTAAACACACCGTTTTATTACGAGGCGAAATGGATTCGTTTAATGGGGTGTAGGAATGAAGAGAACGGGGTGGAGAATCGAACGTCATAAATCCCGTTTTGGTGAAGAAGGCTATCGATCGGATTTGAAAACTGGCGCGAAAACAATGGACGTACGTCACGCGTACCGGCGCCAAAACGGACGCACCTGACAAATGAAACGGCGCCATGGCGAACGGGGTTCTGCGCCGTCATGATTTACGAACGCCGTAAATTACGGTTTATATATTAAAAAGTGTGTCGCGAAGGGGCGCCTCCAAATGGTTTTCAGAGCAAAAGCCTCCGAAACGCAACCAAATAATGGATTTCTCTCTACTCTATGTATATCTCTATATATATATATACATAAGAGGATTTATACAATTTTTTTTGTTTTAAAATTTATTTTGTGTATCCACGTGTAAACGAACATTTCTATTACAACTTTTGTATTATTTATGAAATGAGTAACACGCACTCAGGGCGATATGTAACGGAGCATAACCGAAGCTTTTTAGATTATCTCAAAAGCTCAAGCCGACTTAGTGTTAGCGATGCAATTTACACGAGGATTTAATGAACCAAAACTAATCTAACGCACGCAACCACATATCTCGTTATGTAATTAACAGCTTTAAAATTTTCTCATTTCTTGATCATTATCATTTTTATTAATTTAAAAAAAAATAATAAGAAATATATATAAATACAGGGTGATTCTCAATCTATACGCATAAACTTTAGGATTTATTCCTCAATAATTTCTAGATAAGGACATCTAAATAAGGTCAATACAGTCAA